GGTCATAGCATAGCAGTATGTACGTCCATTCCAGGAAGCTATTTGTCATTGAATCCATCAGACAAGGCGACTGGTGGTGATGCCTGCGGTAAGCATGATAAAAATCACACAAGCTACATTAAAGCAAAATTATTTCAGAATTGTTCTCAATTAGACGGCGTATCTACTCCACATTTCAAAGTACAAAGCATAGCTGATATAAGTTATGAAAGGTACACCATTACATGGTCATTTTATTCAATACAATTTTTATTTCCTTTATTTTTTTATGCAGATATTTAACATTCGTGCCACAAAGCGCAACACAAGTGTAACATGTGATGGAGTTTATCATCTAACAACGGATACATGGAATACCCCATCGCTCGAAAGTGGACTACCAACAATATCTCTAGGCCCTGTTCTTGCAGACGGCAACAATGAGGGGCTGGGAGGATAATTGCCCGTTCAGCGTGGGATATGTGACATGCACAAAGTCAAAGGAGTCTTTGTTTATAATGCACCAAGTTAGACTATAGGGGCAACTGCTACGAGAGATGGCCTTGTAATACTGACCAGCTGCTTGATGACAAGTTTGTGGAGCCTACAGTGACTTATTTATTTGTCTCTTCGAGCACCGATGTGAAAACATCTGAACACATTTTACGTATTACTTACCTCTCGCGATTCCTAGAAATGACTCATGCGGCCAGGTGTACATATTAGAAGACATACACAGATGCCCATAGGTGGGAATCAGTGGGGTTGTCGTGCAATGAGATGAAACATCATGTTCTGCTTATTCACAAACACCCAAGCTTAAACTTTGCTCACTTTCATGCTCTGTAAATTAGGAAGTTACGTACCCGATGACGTAACTTTTTCGGATTATTTAGGAATTATCTATAAAAGCCTCAGGCTTCAGACTTTTTTTCAAGAGCGTCAACAAGCCAGGCTCAGATATGTACATCAGCGACACACTCATGAGAAATACACCAGCGGATGGGATGTCCAGAGTAGTGCCTGAGCCAAACACAATTTGCAGCGTGCAATGGGAGCAAAACGACACAGCACAGATCAATCAGGCGGAGTGTGTGAATGTCACTGCCCAGCAGTTGCGCCAGATCGTGCAGCACACTGCGAGAGATGAAAGTATGCAAGCACCGATGTCCATTGTTCTGAATGGATGGCCAGAGACGAAGGGCGAAACGCCGATCATTTGTCAGAGAATATTTGGTTCTTTGCAGACAAACTAAGTGTACAGAATGGGATTCTGTAAGCTCGGCTCATTATATCCAAATCATTGTGGCCGAAGGTGTGTTAGCACGTACACATTCGAGCCACGCTGGAGAAGCATGCTCCAGGCAGGCACGCAGCACTCTATCCTGGCCAAACATGCAAGGCGAGATCTACGAAATGGTCAGCGACTGTTCTGCCTGTGACGAGTATATGCACATGTGGAGCAGTAATAATCCATGATGTTGCACAAGAGGCCAACATGACCCTGGCAGATCGTCAGCAGGAGCTTATGCAGCAATGCTGGCTGGGATTATCTGCTGATTGTTGACCCCTGCTCAGACTTCTGGGAAATGTCGTTGCTGTGTGCCGAGTCGAAAGTTAAGCAGTGTAAGGCACAGTTTGCGCATCATGGCCAGCCAACCAGATACATTTATGGTCTTGGTTTATTTCCCCCAATTTGTAACGCCCCTTGACTCAACCTGAGCACCACAGAAACAAACTTGGCAATGCGGTGATCATGGCCTTGTGTTCTGCCTCACGGCAGGAGTTTTGCCTCACAGCAGATGGGGGGGGGGGCGTATGTATTTCCTGTTTTTGATGCTGGTTTTGGTCACGTGACCAGAAAGTTGTGAATTAAGATTCCCGCTTAACCACGTGGGCGTCGGCCATTACGCACATAATTCAAGATGGCGGCACACATCGCGTCCCAGTGAAGCCAGACGCAGTTGTCCATCGTGGGACTTTGAGAAGCATTGTCTGTAAGTTTGTTTATGTTCTTATAATATTGGCAATGCTGTTGTAATGTTGGAATGACCGTTATAGTGATGTAAATGCCTTTATGGTGCTGTTAAGTTGTTGTGGTAAATACGAGGCCTAGTTAGCAACGAAGCCTGCAACTTTCCTTATTGTGGATGTTACTTGTGATTTAGTAGGTCGAGTCAGACTTGTGCCCAGGTGGCTATGTTGCGATCCTGAGAGCAAAGATGACGAAGTATCTCATCCACAGTTTAGTGTTATGTGTAATGCTGTACATTTGGGGTGCAGTGTGATGAATACACGATGTGCCTTTATGCAACGCAGCGGCTTGTGCTCTTGTGTAGTTGTTCAGTGGTAGTGTGGGGGCCTGGTCCATCCAGGGTCTATTGCTGGGAAACATGTTATCTGGGACAATGTTCTGGTGCTGTGGTGTTCATTGTGTTAGTGTTTCCGGGTTATAACAGATGCTGTATCTGTGTTTTCTCACCAGTTTTACCTCGTTAAACTCAATAAATGACTTTGGAGTCGGACGTTCATCCTGGCTCCGAGGGTTTATTGAACGCGAGGTTAACTACTCAGTTAGGAGGTGCAACGCAGCGCACAGCGAGGCCGAGACACCTTGTCATGCAGCACGCGCAATGCATTAACGCACTACACACAGAGTCCATCTTTACACTCCTCAGCGCATGCCAGTAATCTCTGCCTCTCTCTATCCAAAACTCCGACTGACTCCTTGCCATTCCCATAAGCTAATTAGATTCCCTCAGCAGATCCATCTCTTTTATTTCCCTCATCCTCTCATTGATCCTAATCCACTCTCTCTTTACCCACATCTTTGACTCGCTCAAGCTCCAGAGATTGGTGCCTCTCCCCTGAAAAAATGGGGGAGCAATAGCAGAAAGGTTAGCGCAGTGTTTTTTAACCCATTTCCCGAGTTTTAGTTCCCAGCTACGGTTATCATCAGTGGAGAGTGATATCTGAACATGCCTTGGCCCTCCTCTTCACCAACCCGCACTGACCAGCATGGTGAAGTATGTGTGGCACATTAGGAATGGATCACTCTTTTAAGTGTGTCCTTGTGCAGCAAGGGAGTAAAGTGTGGTTCTGTGAAAGTCCTGATGTGCTGTGCAATGCATCAATGCATGTGTGTACAGCAGCATGTAATGTCTGAGTCGGGCCTGTAGGTGGCTGGCAGGGTTAATGAATAACCGCACATGTAAACCAGCCACATGGTTAATGGCGTCTCGGAAGGATTGCTGCGTGTAACACGCGCTGTTGCATTTTACAGAGTGACGGTGCGGTTCTTCACAAGATTTATATTAACCACAATAAATAAATGTGCTTGCCCTCGATTTGGAGCACCTGCCCACGTCCTTCATCTCGAGTGTGCAACATATGGTCAAACAACTCCCACAACTGACACGGTGTTTAAAAGGCTTCATCCCGCAGCCGATTGAAAATGCGCTCGCCACAAATTAACCGCAATACTTTGCTGATCTTGTCAAGGAACATAAATCATCACGCGAATTCCGGTCATCCTCGCAGCGGCTTTTGGCTTACCATCGAACAAAGACGGTCACTGCATTGCGTGCTTTTAGATGTGCTTCTGCGGCCATCCGGAAAGCTCTTCCGATATTAGGAAGCCACTGGACCTATGCACTGTAAAATCTCGATTTAAAACAAATTTCTTAAGAACTGCTTTTCGTGTTTAGCTTGTTGTCCTTCCTCCGCACCTCCAATTAGCATGGTTGGCTACGTAGGTGCTAATTAAGTTCAACATACTGTACATGCATCACAGAGATAATCACTTCTCCACCAAGCACACAACTAGTAACCAGAATTACAATGATAATCTTAACAGCCACAATACTACGAACAATAATTATCTGTGAAATGAGATAACAAAGAGAACCAACAAACAGCGTCACCCTTTGGTCTTCCATTTTTGTCCTCTTTCGGCACCACAGCATCAACCACATGACAAAATTTATAACACCATGAATATTAACAGCGACAGACCACACCTGCCATTTTTTTCTCTTCACGTTTTCAAATTCAAAATGTACAATATAATCCACGTCATTACCAACATCTCATTGTGCTGTCAGGATCACGGGGTGAAACGAATCAATCTTTTAGAACTCCATCATAAAAGCGTTATATCACACCAGGAAATGACTCCTCTAGGATGACACCATGGATTTACTTCTGGAGTCTCTTTGAATTAAAAGTCTATCTTCACCGACACTACATTGGACTCCTTCGTTCTTAGTAGAAAGTGTCTCCCTGCACGACACACATCAATGTAATACTTTAGCGATGAAGTCTGCATCTTGCCAAATTAAGTTAAACATTGAAACCGATCGTATTATTGCTTTGCGCGCTCATGAGCGACCTGAGGCCATCAACAACACGCACTTGAGAACCCAGAGTAAATTGGCGACTTCCCAAATTAGAAACCGGTCTCTCAGCAGTGTTGTTGGCTCAGTGTTTAACATGGCCATTACGTCTTCTTGGTTCTTTCGGTAAAGTCACGTAGAAGGGAAATAATAAAATAATAAAAATAAAACATAATAAAATAATTCTCACGACGTTTTGGCCACAACGCAAGCAGCCGTTCCCAGGTGAAACACAGGTCTGTCGGGAAGACAGCGTCTGAATGAAACACCCCAGGCTTGGAGCGTATATTTATGCTGGGTTGGCCATTACGATTAATCCGAATTACTAAGAGTGAACAATGTATGGATACCTAACTAATTTCTGGAAGGTTTGTTCCATGAAATTAGTTTTCTCTCAATTTATGTCGATAATTTCAGTGGCACATCTATAAAATGGATCACCCTGTATTGTTGGAATAAAACTGGTTCGCATGACTGCAGTACTAGAAGGAGCTTTTGCAATCATGAAGTGTTTTCAGGTTGCACTACTTGTTTTTAGAATATGGAGCGGAACCTGCAGTACAAGCTGAAAACACATACATCGAAGCACATCAACATTGATTATGTTAAATTCAGTCGTGAAAAGTCTTAAGCAACTGGTTAGGAGTTTTATTCGAAACAATTTGATCAATACATTGGCACATATAAATAATGTTTTTGAAAACGAGGCAATTTTTTCAGGTAGTGGAGGGTTAATGAAAATGATTTTTGCATAAAACTACCACGTGGCCCAACCCAAAAACAAACGCGAATCATTGCATTGGCTACGGTTTAAATGAATCGGAAAACACATCGGACAGCTATAACAACAGGTTTTTCGCGAACTTACAGGAAGAAATCCATTGTGTTGAGATATACTCCGTAACGCATTCCTCCTGCAAGTGCAGCCAATATATAAGCAACACACATGCAACCCCATACATAAAGTGAGGGAGGTGTCAGGCCTGAGATGACATATGCACGTACCAGACAGTACGTTTTGTGAAAAGGCCTTGAAGCACATTTAAAGCAAAAGCTTTAAATCTCTCCGGCTATATCGCCAAGGTTGATGGACGTTTAATATCTACTTTAATAAAAACGTACACACATCCAGGTACAGCAATTGATTTTGCTCCACTGTTGTCTGCTGTCCACACTTCGTATCCCCAAAGGCTGTTGTGCATGGTGGTCACCCATCCAAGCAATATCCAGGCTCACATCTACTTAGCTTCCGAGCTCAGACACTATAAAGTACATTGCAGGTAATTTGGTCGTAATCGCTTCAATAAAGCTAATCATGTACAAGCCCTTTGTAAAGGCACGCATCGGGAAAGGACTTCCCATACCACGCTGTGTTAGTCGCGGGTATCGTTTGGCCACACTTCACCATACTGGTGAGTGGGAGTTGAAGCGAGCATCCCTGACCAGTGAGGATATCACACGCATTTGACGTTAGCCGTGGCAGGGGACAATGTAGAGGACCTTGGGAGAAGTGCACTGTAGTTTACATATATATTACATAAGATAGAGTGCCACGATAAATAAATAAATAAAGATTAATAATACAGGCTGGCTAAATCCGTCAAGAGGCTTACTGAGTATTCATCAGTGAATGCATTTAATTTTATGTCTGTATAGTGTGAGCAGCCAAAATCCAGTGCTTTTTGCTATTTGTAGCTTATCTCTATTCAGTTAACCATCATTTAAAAATCATATTAACCCGAGTTGCATCCAAAGTGTTAATTGTGGCGTTCATAGGCTGATTGGGGAGACCCAGAATGGAAAGGCCAACGTGGGCAAAGCAGAGGAATTTAGGGTGGCGTTTAACATTTTTCCAGGCAAGGTAAACAAATGCATTACTTTGAAAATTAAATGTATCCATAAGTACATTATGAGTAAAATGATAAACCTCCACGTGTGTCTTTAGCCTCACTAGCCGATATTGCAAAAGGTTTATATTTGAGAGCTTGACTGCTGTAGACACAACATTTAGTCCGTTTACAAAAACAAGTGCCCTCCTCTGGAGTGACGGATGATATTCTATCCACTCTGCAAAAACAAAATCATTAAAATAACCCCGTCATGAAACTCGAGGCGAGTTGCGGTGACAACAACCTACAGGGATATTCAGAGGTGAATGGAGAATAACAGTAAAGTAGCAAAGTAAGTTTGCAGGGAAAGAATTGAGTTAAAAACTAGAAAACGAAGCGTCATCACCCACAAGACGATGGAAAGGGTGCCAGCATTGACACAAGTCTTTCATTTTTACCATTTGCATCTTGCTGGTCAGCCCTACACCAATCTCAATAATAAAACTTGGAGTAAGTAGTACTTGGCAATATTAAATAAAAATCTATGTTATACTTTAAATACCACTGGTTACATACATCCAATGTAATAAAACATGTTGTCACACTAAAAGTCCGCAACCATCCCAATATAAAATCAAGTGTGCTATGCACCACGACAGAAGATTATCGGTCGTATATTAGTGCAGTCCCCTATATATACATATTAAGACGTTTGAAGTTAATCCATGAGTGTTTATATGTGGGAGGGAATTAGAGCACCCGAGGAAAAACTCACGTGTGTCAGAGGGAAACACTCTTCCCCCATATACGGTGGACGGAATTGCTAAGAGCCCGCATTTACTGTACTGCCTTCTCCTGGCAAGCCAGGATATGGCACCTTGGCACTCACGGAAGTTTCACAACATTACAGCTTTGCAGGATAAATAGGTACATTCTGGGTTAGAGGTGACTTCCACTACCATCCTGCTGTCTGTCTGTACACATTTAAAAATATATATTTTAAGTGCATAATTGTTACATTTTTGTTTTGTGCAAAATGAGCCATCCATGAATGTCTTGTTAACATCAGACAACTAGAATTATGTGGTTTAACAGGCCTAATTTTGCCAATGAGACTCACAAATTCAAAACCAGTCCAGAGTTTGCCTGAGAAAATGGTGCAAGTAGAAATGTTACGCAATATTTTTTTCCATAAACAGACAGATTCCTGTGTGTTTAATCATTCATCTTGAGCTCAGTTTTAAGTAACTTAATCGGAAGGTGGGAGGACTGTGGATCACCCTTTGTCATCTTGAATCAATTAAGTACAACACATTTTTTTGTTTATCAATTGACAGCTATTTTAAAGTGGTGAGCATCGCAGGATTTTGAGCGTTCAACACGGGATAACCTCACCACAGTGCAAGCCCAGCGCAACGATGATGTCATCAGCGGTACTGACCGTGATGATGATGACATCTTTGATGCAATTAAATCCTGAGCTTCAAGTGCACGTGTTGAAAACTCACGCGTAGAAACTATTTATTGATGCAAATGACATGCAAATGTGTTCAAATCTAACTAATCAACGATTTAATTCACCAGCGATGACAGATTCACCAATTCGTGCAGCTGCAGTCGTGCGCATTTAGCCGTCAAAGTGCTGTGTGGCCGGGTGCGGCGCAGTCTCTTCATCGCTTCTCGAGGCCGGAGAGCCGCGTGCGGATCAGCTCCACGACGAGATGCTGAGGGCGGCGCGCGAACTCCGTCAGGACGTCGTGTGGACTGCTCACCTGGTCTCCCGCCAGCCGATCGAGGAGCGTGACGCACACCACGCCAGCTGCCACAGCAACAACGACACACAGAGCACTACTATTTATGCAGTGCTCTGCTACGAAGCACACAAGCTGCACCTCCACTCTTCCAGACATTTGTCAGTACACTTCTAAATGAAGGCATTTCCTCATGACGGTATATTAGCCATAGCCGGGTTCATAGCGCACGAACGAATTCTAGCCTGCTCTCTTTCTCGGCCTAGATATACACCTCCTCTCATGTGTTTTCCAGTTGTGTCACTCATCTTGACGCCAACTTTGCAGCTTTCTTTATTGCATTCTACACATCTCTTCCTGTCGTTGATTATAGCGCAGTTCAATTTGAGCAAATCTGAGATTGATTAAAACTTCTACATTTCCCATTCATTCCTACGCCTTCATTTCTCCAATCCAGTATTTTGGAAAACGTCTTATAATATGGACCAGAGAATCTCCTTGCCAGGCTCTCCTTCTGAAATTTATTTTCTCACTTCACGCGATCACCGTAGCTATTCTATTTATGGCGCATTGGGATCTACGGATGAAATGTGCCTTACAAATTATGATTCTTTACAATTATCCTTGCAAATGGTTTTAATTGTTTCTGAATGTTGTTTTTATTTAGGCTATTATTAGATACGGTATGTAGAACACCAGCACTCCACGTCGCAGTTTCAGGCGACACGCAATGGGTGATTTTGCGGAGGTGAATTATATAAATGCCAATGCTGGCTCATTTTCAAACCCGGTTCTTCTGCATAACAGCTGCGTGTATTTCGTGCTACAACCTGGTGGAGGAAGCTCTGTTGAATCCACTCTCGGAGAGTACAAAACTATAGTATAATTTGCTGTTCCCCTAAAATATAACCACGTGCACGCTGATACTGCAAAGCAACTGCAGATGCCCATCTGAAGCTGTTTTACTTGTAATGGTATATCTCATTTCCTTCCACCAGGACCTTTCTGAACACATGCTTTGCCCACGGCTATAGCCGATTCACCTCCAATCCGATGAATTGTCGCAATTGAAGGTTGTAATTAGCTAAGGGATTCAACTGTTTTTTTGTCTCCCTTTTGACCCTCTCATTTGTTCTTGATTTGAAGCTTTCGTGACTGCAGGTAGAACATTTTATATATTATTTTTTGTTTCATAAAATTTTTCTACCTACGTGACTTTACCTCTCATTTTTATTCTCGTATTATCTGGATCGTTTGTACAGTAATATTGGAATAAAATAAAAGTTAAATTGGAATATAATTTGTGAAAAAACATTGCAAGCCATGCTCAATCAACAGGTGGATGCAGGCCATGGGAGACATTTTTGACCATACTTCACCATGCTGGTCCATATGGCTTGATAGGGGTGGGTGGGGAAAGGGCAGGACCAATTCTGATATCACTTTCCAATGATATTAGCTGTTACTGGGATTCGAACTCGGGTCAGTGGATTCATAGCGCTACTGTACGCGCGAACCACTCTACCCTCCGCTCCACCATAAATAAATAAAAACTACTCTCAACCATACAATTCGAAGCTTTAAAAATGAATGTTCACCTCAATCGACTAACCGTTGCGTCGCTACACCCTGACAGCTCAAGTTGCATGCGTCTCTGAGTGTGTGCTGGGCATGTAGGATGTTCTGCTTCGTGTGGTGTGCATTCATCTCGTGCCCACCCCCCACCCCCGTGTTGGGATGAAAACGGGACGCACCTTGCAGGCCGCTGAGACGGCACAGCACGGAAAACACGGACGACTCCATCTCGATGTTGCACACCCCCGCTTCGTGCGCCGCGCGCAGATACGCCAGCTTCTCCTCGTGGCTGTACGTGCACACGGCACCGTCCAGCCGGGCCTGGCCTGCACACGAAGAGTCCGCCAATTTAGCTTTTACACACACACACGAACAGAGGCACTAGAAAGGTGTGGAATGTAATGATCGTCGCAACAGTAGAGACATGCTGCTGGAAGCTTGTTGGCTTAATGGCCTCTTAACAGTGCTGCTATTTTCTGGTTTTGGAAGCCAACATCGCCGTAATTCTTACGGAGGTGTATCACCTGTACCTTCCCTTCTAGCCCCACCCTCCCAGTCCCTGACTGCCACATTTATATAAGCTCCTCCCCTCTCCCCTGAACCAGTATATAAGATCTTGTCTCTTGGATTTCTCTTCACTTGATACAGTAAATTTGGCTGTGATGTCCCACCGTCGTGATTTAATTTAGTAATTTTAATTTATTATTATTTTATTATTTTTTACCTACGTGACTTTACCGAAAAAACCCAAGAGTATTAATAGCCTCTGTAAAAGGGGACTGGGCGGGAAGGAGACGAAAGAAGATTAACAATAATCCCATGTGACCAAATCACCCAAATGCAACCCTACCTCATCACATCTCAGAAGCTCAGTCGCGTTGAGCTCGGATAGCATAAGGATGGACAAACACCGTGCGCAACAGGTTGTTATAGGCTGCCGGGTACTCTGACCCCTGAGCCACCTGGCCACCTCCGACGATGGCGTCGCCTTAAAAATACACCCCCCTCCCGCCACCCTCCCACCCAACTTGAGGCTTACGACCGCTGTTGGTCACCCCGGTGTTATATCCGTACCCTCGTAGAAGTCGTGTGTGCACATGGTGTTGCCCAACACGGTTTGGAAGCCGCCCACGGCGCGGCCACAGGCGACCAGCTCGGCAGCCAGCCCGGGGTGCAGCTCCGTGCTGCGCACCACAGACTTGCCCAGCACCATCTGCTCCATCTGCGGCTGGAAGCATGCGTCTACAGCCGAGCGCGACACCACCACCGTGCCGGGCTCCAGACCTGCAGTACGACCAGGAGGTGCAGGGAGCAAGCGGTTAAACAATTGCAATTGCGCGGCTGTATTTTTCCATGTTTATTTCCTGAAAAAGGCAATGTGCATCAATGCTGCCCTCAACTGTGCGTCTTGGACCAGAGGATACGTGAAGGGATTTCAGACGTAGTTTTGCGATATCCGTTTGAGTGGGCCATTCTCTACGCATCAATAGTGTGGGAGTGGCAGTGATGAAGACGGTCTGTGTGTGGTGCTGCTCAATCTGTCCAAACTCGTTTTTCCGTGCTGTTTGTGTTGTATAATGTAAATCTATTACATTTTTGCGATGTTTATGTGTACTGTTTACACGTATGCGGTTTCCTTGAAAAGCACCTAGAAATACTCTCAAGACTTGGAGGCCTAATAAATTCAAATTGCTATTATGATAGTCCTACCTTGTTCACACACATTCCCCCCACTTCTCAATTGAGAAAGAGATTAGTTGTGTTAACGAAATGTCACCTATACTCTTTGGTTCTTTCGGTAAAGTCACTTTACCGAAAGAACCAAAGAGTATGGATTCCTGCAGTCACGAAAGCTTTAAATCTAAATGTCACCTGACTGAAAGGATTTTATTAATTTAAAGGGCTTCAAATATGTTTCAGTACTGTAACTCCCCCACTAATGTGATATCTTGCCTCTTCCTTTGATCCTATTGCTCCAATGTCCAGACCTTCAAATACATAGAATGAATAAATAATAAATAAATAAATATATTCATAAATAACGTGCGGTGACAATACATAGCTTCGAGAAGTAGATTTCTTTTTATAGAATCATCCAGGGCCGGAAGACATTTCTGGAAGCTTTGGCTCGTCACTGCTCATCATTTACTTATTCATCACGTTACCTGTTTATTTAGTTTATATTTCTGCCGACTCCTCCAGGAGAGCTCCCCCACCCCTGGAGTTCTGAACATTGGGGCCATAGGATCCAGGGGATAGGTGGACACCACAACTGGCAATAGACCAATGTTCACGTCTTATAATTTCTTCCTGAAAGATCGTGAACTTCAAAAGCATACACAGGTAAAAGTGTTTACATTTCTCCCCATAACCCTCACTCCATAGTGATAATGCACCCGAACAGGCCGGTTTTATTTTAACCCTTAGTTCTTAAGTCACTGCGGCAGAGAGGTGCTGTCATACCAAGTCCACCCGACGTGCCGATACGAATGACGGTAACATCACGGCAACGCGCGTGGTGCAACAGCTTTATTAGCTCATGCAGCAAAATGGACATGGAAGGGACCCCCATGCCGTGCTGTACTCACGAACAAGCAGACACGAGACACACACACAGACACATGGGTGTAAGAGCACGCATTGGTGTGGGCACACACAAAGCAAGGATGACTTTTCTAATTATTATTGTTAGAGTAACGTGCCAAGGGTGTAAGTATGTATGAACCATTAAGGTCCAAAGGTCGCTGTGGTCAATGCCTTTGTGCCATCACATCCTGCCTTTGCTTCCTTTTGCAAGATTCCACAGCTGTAATAAAGTCAACACCTATCCTTAAAGGTCTGTTCCTAGAGTATCACATCTTCTGGAATTAGGTCCAACCTCTGGTTGTCCACTCCAATGCCTACCTCGGATTACCACATTGCCTGGCTACCTGCTCAGTTTTAGTGTTGAAAAACCTGCACTGCGCCACTGATAAGAACACCATGCCATGTATAGCAACTGATATAACACGGCACTGAATTTATTATTCCGTGACACATGATACTGTTGCACAATTTACCAACAAGTTGCTCTTCTATTATTATTGCCCAGCAATGGATTAACAAGAAGCTCAACTGAGAGAGAGGTTGTCACTGCAGAGGCAATGTGTCTAATTCCCAGTCAGAGATATTGGAAGCCACGGGCACATGCTATTAAACTTAGCCTCTGTGTGACAAGCTGTATTTTAAATCACATTTGAGTAGGGTTAAATGTGGTGTCCCTTAACACTTATTACTAAACTGCCTGTATATATTTGAAATATAGAACGTACATAGTTTGCGTATAGTGAGGTAATATGAAATGTTTTTAAGGAACGAAACAGGAGGATTTCTCCACAAATCTAGCTGTTGCCTGATTAAGCTAGTTGTAAGTACTGGTGAAACGTCATACTCAGATTGTAAATGTTGTGAATTTTCTCTCCAACAAACCGGTGTGCTGTACTAGTAACGAATTGGCATGTTCTGTTTACGTGACAACCCTTACTAATTGTCCACCCTTTTTTGGCCCCTCTCTCCCGATACTTTCCATTCATTGGCTACCACATTCTGATGAGCCCCCCCCCTCTCCTCCCCCCTCAACTCGCTTTTAAGGGATTACATCTTGAATCATTGACTCACTTGATGCAGCTAATCTGGCTGTGACTGTCCCACCTGATGACGGAGACTTGTGTTGCCTCCGAAACGTCGTGATCTTTATTTTATTTTATTATTTTTATTAATTTTGATGTTTTACCTACGTGACTTTACCGAAAACACCTAAGAATATAATTGTCTGTGTCGGGTGATGGCGGGTTTATCGACCCATTTATATTTACGCGATCTAACCAAAAAAAGACCTATATTATGGATAATATGAATATGGTGAGTTCAGAGATTTATGAAACTTCCGTATGAAATATTGTGCACCTAATATAAACTGCCTCCCTCACACCCCAGATGTAATGCTTGATTCTCCATTTCCTTGGTAAACATTCCCTTACCACGTCACTGATCATGTGCATGGATTCATGTAATGATATAAATTCTATAGCCTCTTACTGTACAGTCAGGGGGCAATCGCAGTAATTATAATCTAGAGGTTGTGCAAACACTGACCCTCGCCGTCTATTCATGTTGTTGATTCACGGCACACAGCGGCTAGAAACTATGACACGTTTCCACCGCAGCGGTATATATCGTACTGGGTAAAATATGAACAATTCAACTCAATAACTAAAATTCAGACTTTGAAAGTCAATTCAGACTTTGAAGTAAATTTTTGATCGAACTAAAAGGTTAACTCTGAGCCATGCTTGTACAATGATGGTGTTGATTATGACGGTGATCATCATCATAACCAATCGTTCACTCTATCAATACTCACTCGTGGGCACAGGCCCTCGTACGGTAAGTAGCAGTGATTAATGTGGTGGTGGTGTTGATCACTGGTGTTCTTACACTGGCTGCCAGCACGGGTCCCGCCTTGTACATGCTGTAGCGGTCATTGTTGCCACATAGGTCGGTGATCGGATCCTGAACCGTCTCTGCGAGGGCGAGCTTCGTGCACAGAATGCCCACAAACTCGCGCATGCGGGATGCGCTGCCTCCAACACAAACAAACTGGAACACACACAGAAACAGAAATCAATAAGTATTCTATATATCAGGGAACATAGCGTTTCTCATCTGGCAAAACAGGACGTTGCTCTTGTTAAGTTTAAATCCCCGTCAGCACTATTTTCTCAGTAATCATGGAAAGGTAGACTTTTACTTATTTCCCACTGCACAACCGGCTCGGCATGGCACATACCAAGTGGAGAAGCCGCTTGTACTGTTAGAAGTCCACACTGGCTTGGCTCAGATGGGTCAGTGGCAAAGGAGTAAAAGTGTAAATAGACCAATCCACCTTGAAGAGGCAAATTTTCTCGGCTTCAACATCCGACTGACCCGCAGCTCCCGTATGAAGGGGAAGGCATCCATCTTCCAACCACCCAGGACATCGATGCCACTGTGATACCCACAATGTAATGCAATTCCATACATAATCTACCGTAAGTTAATATTTCCCAAAAATGTACTTTTAGAAAATGAGCTATTTATATGTTAGCAAGTTGGATTGTGAAAGGCTAAGTGTTGACAGAGGGCATGGTGTTATGACCATAATCTATTAAGTAACTTTTAGAATTAAATATTTTAATCTCTGCCACGTGAAAATGTGCGCTTGCAATTTGGATTGCACGAGCAAAGTTCGTGGAGCAAAAAACGGCCAGCGCAACTAAGCAGCGTCACCTTAACATCTCCAAACATGGCGGGGAGGTCATGGGTCAGAGTTCCCAGGCCGAGGTGATACAGCACATCTTCAGCCATCGTGTGGACGTGGAGGTTGGGCACCCGCACAAGCCCAGTCCTGGTTTTACATATACACAAACACACACGGGTAAACACACCAACCATTGTATCAGTGTGCGGTATTAACTCTATGTAACTTTCATCCATTGCCCAGTGTGTCAATAGTTCAATGTTAATGTGCCATTTTATTGAGGGACTACGACTCTGTGGTAACTTGGTGTGGCGTGGTATTGTTTCGTTGTTGTTTTTGCTGCCTTGCCCAGTCTTGATATGTCTGACTTAATTAATTTCGTATTACTTATATGTAATGACTTACCATTTACTCTCTCTTTTGCACTCCTATCGTTGTTTGTATTGTATGCCGTTGTAACTTGCTGACCCGCCCATACTAGACATCTGTGAAAAACATCTTCATAGCTCATCGGATTCCTCCAGTCTGATTAAAGATTCTGCGTGGTATATGTTACAGTACGTGACATAAAGTACAGCAGTTACGACTCGGACGATGGGCAGGTCGTATGCCATAACCGAGCATTGTCCCGCGATCGGTATCACCCATTGGTTAAAGATGCATGCGTGTGGTCAGTTAGGTGTGATTGAGCTGTGATTGCACGTGTTGGAAAGTGGATGATCACTCACAGAGACGCATAAATTACTGCCTTGCTTGTGATTGGTGGGACTTGCACGTGTGAAGGTGGAATGACTCATCTCCACGGCAGATTATTCATTTCCTGCTCACCATTGGTCGATTGTGCGTGCTTTTAAAATCAAACAGCTGATTGTCCGGAATCATGTTTGCAGATTTCTGATTTGGAGCAATTAGGTAGGCAGCCAGTTGTAATGACTTAGAGTGTAGCTGCTCTCCCATTGCCTGATGACGGCTCGGCTGTGTATAAAAGTAGAGCTCGGAGGCTTTGCCTAAATGAATAATTTACCCGCAGTCAGGTACGCTAGCAGTAGCCGTGAAGTTTGAAGGCGCAGGGTCGATTCAACAGCCCGCTGAGATCTGCCAAGCGTGTATGCTCGGAATAAACTCCTACACTGGCGCTGTGTAGTTGAATTGATATTTGATATATTTTTGATATATTTTTTTAGCAGGGTCCTTGGACGTAATAGGAACTCTCCAGTGGCGGCTCCTGCAAAATCTCTCAGGGGGGGCAAATGTCTGGATGATTGATAAGGATAAGGTCCACCCATGTAATTGATAAATTAACAGCTTAAGCATGTAAAGGCAACTTCACTTCTTTAATATTAATGAAAAATAAAGTGACTCTTACAATACATCTTGTTTGTTTATATACTCACTATTAAAACAAACCACTCAAGCTTATTTTATTAAAGATTCCACTAGGTAGCGATGAATTATATTGTTGGATGAAACGTGCTTACGTATGATGACGTAAGCACGTTAGGGCTTGCCCTCCCGGAAGCCATAGAGAATGCATTGGAGCGCCCCCGTTCGAAAAAAAACATCTTTGAATGTAAGTCTATGGGGCCACTCGGGGCGATTCTCAGCCGGAGTGAAATCGCCCCAAAAGAGGCGGTACTCCACAGAACGTGACATGACGCTGATTGGACTATATCCAGAGGCTGACAGTGACGGCTGGCGTGACTGTGGTTGAATGACATTGGTGGTGCGTCGCCCAATCGCCCTAATGAAGAAACCGCCCCTGGAACTCTCCTATGTGGACGACGGTGTATGGTTAAGGGCAGCAGCAGAGCTGGGCCAAGCAGAAGGGCCACGAAACGCTGCTGTCCCCCTTAGCTCCGCCATGTGGCAAGGCAGGAGCGGTGCAACCGTGTGCTACCTAGCTTCCGATTTAACGTTGTTGGCTACGTACGGTGCGATACAAGTTCTACATGGAATGACGTCGTACAACCTGCAAAGCCGAAACTCTTGTGCCGTGGACTCCTGAGAATCATCGGCGAACTGTCCCGCTAGAGATTAGTGCGAAATGCTGTTGTGGGTGGTGCCTGGCGTAAGAGGTGCAGAATTGCGACGAGGTGGCGTGGGGTGCCGTCTGGTAGATGCAAGTACGTTTAACTTCTTTTGCACCGTACGTAGCCAACCGTGATAATCGGAGGTGCGTGTTAAGGGCTACAAGCTAAACACAAATACGTTAGAAAAGAATGGGTTTTTTCAATGTAGATTTAAAAGTGCATAGCTCCAGTAGCTTTCCTAATATCGGAAGAAAGCGCGTTCCAGACGGCCGCAGAAACGCATCTGGAAGCACGCGGTGCAGTCACCGTCTTTGTTCGATGGCTTGCAGCCCAAAGCCGCGTGATGGTTTATGCGCCTTGACGAGATCCGCAAATTGTATTGTGGTTCATTTTTGGCAAGCACTTTGTGGGTGTGTGTGTAATGAGTTCGACCTTGTAATGTAGGTGGCGCGCGAGGTCACATCGCGATTTAACACGTGGGAGTTGAGCGGTGTAGGGGTTATGGTTGAAGGGGAGTACGGTATAGTGGGCCCTCGGGCACCACCGTGAATATCTAGAACCCGAACGTATCGCCCAAGGGCTGGGTAAAAAAATTCACAAGTGTGTGTGCGTAACCCCCAGTGTTATCCGAATTTTTATTTGGACTTCCTCCACATCTGGACGGCTATCCACCGCGGCCTTTGTGTGTCTTAGCGGTGGCTGAGCCAAAATGATTTCGGAGCGTGTGCGAGTCCAGGAAGGCACGAGAGCAGAGGTTTGCAACATGTGGCTCGGCAACCGCATTGCGCCTATTTAAGGACTGCTTAGTTGATGCATTGCAGCTCATGAAATATTTAGGTGTTTTTTTTATAAAGATTTAAAAAAAATTGCTCTTGTTATTTTGATGGCCGACTCCCTGCACTAGGGCATAGGTGTGAGTCTGCTCTGTATATGGACCACCATCAAGAGTAATTACAAACTAAAGATACCCCCCCCCCCCCAAAAGCGTGTACACATGTGCCTGGTCCCCACACTACTCCATCATAAATGCACAAGTGACCTGGCTGATCATGTGACACGCTGACATCAGCAACAAATGCACTATGCATGCTATAGAATACAGTAAAGGCGCTGTACACTCCAGCATATCCTCTAGTGTTCTGGGGATATTTACGTGCAAAAAAATATTAACCTGTATGTACACTACAGCATCGGGATAATCCTTTGGCTGGGGAGTTTTTAATTTGGAAGCCTGCGGGAGCGACCCCAGGAGTACGCTTGTTTGGTTCTGCTGCTAGGGACGACTGCTCTGGGCCGCTCTTAATACTGCAGATTGTTTTGGATAAAGATTACTTTGAAAAAATTAACCCGTAAAAACAAAGTTTTTCACTATAAATCCTTTATATGCGTGGCGGCTAGAGTCCTCTCGTCCTCTGGCTTGAGATGGCTGCTACCTATGGGTCAGATGATTGTCTGGCAGCATTAAGAAATTGGAAATTAAATATTTACATTTTTTCCCTAAACAGTGTAAAATTTTGGAAATTCTTTTTCACGAAAATTAATTGTCACGCACAACGAGTCTGTGTGCAAAATGTCAGCTCGATTGGATCACGGGAAGTGGGTTAAAAAACGACCGAAAGATTTGCACGGTCGTAAGTAAGCAAACAAGCACGCAAGCAAGCAAGCAAGCGAACTTAATATAAAGGATTTAAAAAGCAAAACCATTAGCTTCCCCTCTATTGCTCCCTTGCGTGCATGGGGTTTCTCTGCGTTCTCCAGCTTCTGCCCACTGGGTAATAAACACCTTGAAATAAAAACTCTATGAAAGGGCCTGCCTGAACGGGTTCTACTAACCGGTGTGGTTTACCTGGATACATAATTATTAGTGATTATAAGTTAACTATAAAAAAACACTTACATTTCCTGGGAGAAACTTGTGGCTCATTGGCAACGATTCTGCAACTCCTGGTATATAGACTCAACCTTTTTATTTTACCAGGTAAGCCCCACAGAGCTATATGGCTAGGATTGAAGCTTTCGTGACTGCAGGAATTACTATACTCATTGGTTCTTTCGGTAAAGTCACGTATGTAGAAATAAAATACAAATTCAATTAAAATAGATCACGACGTTTCGAACGCAACACAAGTGCTCGTCCTCGGGTGAAAATGTCGTAAACCACACAGCGAGGGAACACACAGAGGGACATCACACGGCACACAAAGAACGGCAAATTGCACAGAGTTTGCCGTTCTCGGTGTGCTCTCGGTGTGCTATGTGTGTGATGTCCCTCTGTGTGTTCCCTCGCTGTGTGGTTTACGCCACTTTCACCCGAGGACGAGCCCTTGTGTTGCGTTCAAAATGTCGTGATCTATTTTAATTTTGTTTATATTTTATTGTATTTCTACATACGTGACTTCACCGAAAGAATCAATGAGTATAGCTATGTGGCTCTTTTTTAGAAGTGACCTGTCCACAAGTGATAGCTCAACGAAGTGGCTTATCTGGACATTTATAGCAGCCAAATAATCAACATATATTTCTAAAATGTGGAGGGGGAAAACACCAGAAGGACCCGGAGAAAAATCAACGTGACCACGGGGAGAACATGCAAACCCCAAATATACAGGCGTCGGGGTTGGACTCGAACCCATGACCTCTTGTATACCAGGTGAGGTAGTTAACATCTCGCCAACGTGGCATTACTTAAGGCATTGGACTCAATACAGTACAGCTACTATAACATTTATATAAAGCTGTGTTAAATAAATGATTGTACAAAAAAACTCGCACCTAAGTTAATGTTAATGCTGTCACAAATCCGCAGTCGACAAACATTCTAAAGTCTTGTAGTTCACCAATACGGGTCACGAACTACAATTTGTGTGATTAAGTACATTTCGTTTTGTAACTGCTATGTTTGATCATTGCTGATGCGAGGTGCTGGGCACGCACACAACACGCAAATGGGCGGTGAAATTAGCGAGGAGCAGCACTTGCTGCAGATCGTCACGGTTTCGAGACGCGTAAGCTGCCGTGGCTAACACTACAGGTGCATTAACAAACTAACAAAATGCACCAACTCGCTTCGAAGTGAAGTTAAAAATCCAGTGACGTTATTCGCAACACACTCGGCCA